AAGTTCAGGTGTCGCAGCTTCGATCCTCCCAGGAGGACGAACTGCTCACTCTCGCTTTAAGTTTCCCATTGAAATAGATCAAAATTTTTGTTGTAACATCAGTAAACAAAGCTCACTAGCAGCTTTAATACGTGATGCCAAATTAATCGTATGGGATGAAGTATCTATGGCCAAAAAAGGACTGCTAGAAGCTTTTGATATTCTCTTGAGAGATTTAATGGACACAAATATCTTATTTGGTGGAAAAGTCGTTGTCTTTGGTGGTGATTTTAGACAAACTCTTCCTGTTGTTCGCAGTGGAAAAAAGGATGATTTCATTCGAGAGAGTTTACTGTTTTCTGAAATTTGGAATCAGCTTGAAAAATTGCGATTATCTGACAATATGCGAGCAAAAACAGACCCCACATTTTGTGAGTACTTGCTAAGAATTGGGAATGGAAAAGAAAAAGTACATGATAATGATAAAATTCAAATACCCCATTGCTTTATTATACCTTTTATTTCTGAAAATGAATCATTAGATGTCCTATTTAGACTAACTTATCCGGATCTACATACATGTACTTCTAATGTATCTTCTATGACCTCTCGTGTAATTTTGACGACAAAAAATGACTTCGTTGATCAAATGAATGATTTGCTTATAACTCAATTTCCTGGTGATCCTAAAACATATGTTTCATTTGATGAGACTATTGAACCGAATGATCAAAGTCAATATGAAGATTTTCTACACACCCTACATCCAGCTGGTTTGCCTCCCCACAAATTGACATTAAAAAAATATTGCCCTGTCATGTTACTAAGAAATCTAAATCCTTGTGAGGGCTTATGCAATGGTACTAGACTTATATGTAATGATCTTCAAAAACATGTTATCAGTGCAACAATTGCAACTGGAGATTTCAAAAACAAGCATGTATTTATTCCAAGAATACCATTATTATCATCTGCAGATGAAAAATTGCCTGTTCCTTTTAAAAGAACACAATATCCTTTACGCTTATGTTTTGCTATGACAATAAATAAAGCTCAAGGTCAAACATTGGACTTTGTTGGAATTTATTTACGAGAACCTGTTTTCTCACATGGACAACTGTATGTGGCTTTATCAAGAGCAAGAAGTTCCAATTGTATAAAAATATTAATTCGCCCACCAACACCAGATGATGACGATGATCATTCAACATACAACATAGTCTACAACGAAATCATTCAAAAAGCATTCACATGAAACCATCCTTGGATGCCCCTAAATCCTTTTGACTGTGCCTCTTCCATCAGAAAAGCCTGCCCTCAGATTTGACAAAGTCCTATAGATCAGTCCACCATTATGATACAGGTATTTTACTTTTATTTGTATAAATTATAGTCATATTTTTTCCCTGCACATAATTTACACTACAAAGTAAACGTTTAACCTTCAGTTTATTCCTGCTTCCATCGCCGTCTACCAAAACGACCGGAAATGTTT